AAGAATTTCTATTTCCTGAGGGCAGCACAGGTGCTGAGCTGCATCTTCACTGACAAGGACGCCACTGCTGACAAGCGGGCTGGGTGCTGGGAGATTCAAGCCCAAATCAAGCCTGACAGGGACTAAGGCAGTTCCTTCCAAATGTCCTACAGGCTTTCTACAGTCAAGCATGTTTGTTTATTTGCTTTGGAGCTGCAAATTTATGCATATCTGAGACTGTAAGAATAGATGAGTCGGGGTCTGGGGCGCGGCCTGGGTTTGGGTGCCAGCCTTCAGCTTCTCCATTCGCTGGCTGCACGTCTGAGGGGAAGCTAAGCTCTCAGCCGGAGTTTCCTCCTCTGAAAATGATGCTCGTGACAGTGCCCATCAGAGCTGGCGGTGCTGCAGTGGATACGCGATGCAGGGAGGTGTTTGGAGTGTGGCTGCACACTGGGTGAGCTGAAGGTTTGCGGCTGTCATTGGTACTGTTAATAAAGCAAATTAAAGGTGGAATAAATTTAGTAGAAATTCATTTAAAAAGAATTTTGTTTGCTGTACTTCCCATTCCTAAAGGAGGTGTTACATGTGTAGCTGCTTATTTTATATGTTGATGTGGACCACTTGTTTTTGCTGAACTCCAAATCTCTTGCTGCAGGACACTGCACTGCTAATCACCCAGCTATCTAAGTAGCTGGGAATCACACAGGCCCACAACCTTGTGATGACACCGCTCACCTCACCTAGTGCATCTACTTTCTCAGATGCAGAAATTCTCTCCTCATTGCTTCTTTTCATTTACTTCCTTTGCCTACTCTTTATTTTAAAACTCCAAGTTTGTAACACTTGGTATTTGCACGCCATTTTTGTCTAACATTATGTCATGTGTTCTTCACATCAGTTCTACTACAGAAAGGCACATATTCAGTTTTTGATCCAGGCAGCTCTCCTTTAATTTTTTGGTTCTCTCCTTCTGCAGGTTTAATTCCATGGGGCACTGTTTTAACAATACTTTTGACAATGACCTATGCTTTCCTGTCCTTCTGTGATTTTCTCATCCTCTCTAGAAAGCCCCTCCTTCTGGATGAAATGAAACAGGTACTTTCCATGGATCCAGGTATGAGTAGCTGTGCACTGACAGAGCAGTTTGTGTGACCTGTGGGTTTCTGATCCACCCCGAAAGTGTGTCCTCAGTACAGCCTGGTGATCCTGCTGTCCCTCTTGTCAGTTTACTGTCCATTTTCATGATTTTTTTTTAACATTATCAGTTCTGTTCAGTAGTCAGAGTCTACCTGTGTCCTCCAACTTGGACGTGTCCTCTTCTTCCACCCTCACTGTCCTTCTGAATACCATGGATGTCTGCAACAGTCACGTCTTCCTCCTTGCCCTTACATCGGGAAGGGAAACCACCCTTCTTCGTGCCTTGGGCCATGTCCTCCCTCTGTGCTCTGATCTCTTGACGTTTACACTCGCATGCAGCCTTCTCACCTACCTGGGTTGCTCCTGCTAGCACTGAATCATGACCATGTTTCTCCCACTTCAGAAACAAACCGAAACCAAAGCACAGACCCTCAGCTCACCATCCTTGCATCTTTGTCTTGTGGTTGTTTTGCTGTGGATTTTAACGTACACAAAAATACTCTGTAAATAGCAAAACTCACCAGAAACCCAAAGGGCAGAGGACAAAGATTTAAGGGTACCAGGGTGCCAAACAATGTGGCTGCATCCAGGACGAATGGGCATTTGTTTTCTGAGCAGAGAGGGGAGGTGGCTGGGGAGAGGATGCTGGTGACTTGGTCACCCTAAGGTCATCACCAAAAGCTTTACTCATCTGCCTTGAAGTGTTTCGTCAGATCTGTTTCCCTACATTCAATGTCAGACCAAAATAAATTTCAAAGGAGTCCCAAAGGTTTATGTTCTTTATGACATTTTATTGAGGGAAAGTTAGCATGAAGAGGAAAACTGCTAAGTTTGTGAGAGTTGCAGGCTCATTTTTCAGTGTTTCGCTTTTGTCAGTGTGCATTTATGGTACATGTCAAGAGACAGCGACTGAGACAGTGGTCATGAGTGATGATCCTGAGAAGAACTTGAAACACACCTGAGAACTGACAGTGACTGTGGAAGACGAGTCGGCTTTCAAGGAGTTTCTGCACAGTAGTTCTACTTCATGCTATTTGACAGAGCCCCTTTTTTGTTTAATATCGGGGGGCGTAAGGTAGCTGGCTGTCACTTCTTGGAGGACCTGGGGCAAACTCGAGCATCACGGGGTTGGCTGCATACACGTTTGGAATAACCAGGGCAGACTGGAAAGAAGGAACAGAAACAGGCCGTGTTGTTAGTACATCCCCACTCCGTGTCCCCATCCCGGCAGAGTCAAGGACTCGGAGCCCTGGAGCGAGCTCACAGTGGGACGCTGCCTACCCGTGCATAGGGATGCAGCAGACTCGCGCCTCTGTACTTGTTCAGCGTGCGTTCCCGTATTTTACGAAGAGCCCAACTCACCCTGCTGGGGTTCCTGATGACTTGGGTGACAACATGGGCCGTGGCACACGCTATGCAGAACTCCAAGACAGAGAAGAGAAGCAGCATGGCTGAGATTCCTTTTCCAGCAACCTGAAATCAGAAGTAAATGCTGTCCTGGAATTTCGGCTGATTGGGAGGCCCTCACAAGGGCTTCAGAAAGTGGTTCACTCATTGCATGTGCTGTTGCTCCTACTTACCTCACTGTGTGCTTATTTCTCCATTATCATCAGATGCTCATTTTATAGGAATACAAATTTATTTTGAATTTTCTTTCAATACCAGAAGAATTTCTTTTTTGCCAAGTGGACTGTTCCACTTGAAATATCAGAAAATAGGCAGATTTTTTCTTTGCAGTAGTGTTCTTGTATTTATAAAAATATTGCTCACAATAAAAAGCAAATGATATAGGAATTAAATAGTCATTTCAAATGCTATTGCCCAGAAATATGCATAATTGATATTCATGGCCATATCTTAGATCTCTGTGCATTGGTACCAGGCAGAATGAAAAATGGATCCAAAGTGACAGCAAGAAAGGGAAAACAGAGTGAGAGAAAGTAAAATTCTCTAAGATAGACTCATATTTCCCATTTTAAAATGAACACATTACATTTACATGCTGTTAAAAGGAGAAAAAGATGCATCTTCAGTTAAATAGGCTAACTGTCAAAAAGCAGCATTTTGGAGCCAGACATGAGGTCTGTTTGCCATCTCAGCACTTGGGGAATCTGAAGCAGGAGGATTGCAAGTTTGAGCCCAGCCTGGGAAACCTAGTGACTTACCAAGAGCATATCTCAAAATAAAAAAGTAGAAAAAGGTGGGAACGTAGCTCAGTGTGAAGGCCCCGGGCTCAGTCCCCAGTGCCGTCCCCCCACCCCACCCACAGGTGTTTATGAAACCCATGAAGAAGCTGAAGTCACTGTAAGCTTTGGAGTCTCAATTTTAGACAGTATCAAATGATTGTTCATTATGAGAAGAGGAGGCGATTGGCATTCATCTCCCTTTCATCTTGCCTTGCCTCTTCCTACCTCCCTGCTTTCGGTAATTATGCCTTTGTGGTGTATTCCCTTTTAGGGCTGAAACATTAAAGCACTTATATTCAATTCTGTAACTGTTCGTCTCAGTCGAACCCTTCTGTGGCTTAGTGCTGCCCGTTAATCCCTTTGCAAGCTTCCCCCTGCCTTGCTGGACTCTTGAGGTAAGTTAACTGCTGCACAGCTGAATAGTATGTTAAGTTTTAAAACACCAATGCGCAGTGGCTGTCCTGTTTTCCAGAGAGCATCTTCTCACCACCTTTCAGCTCGCGTGCACACTTGGTGGATGCGGTATTCTGGAGTCAAGATTTCTTTGCATGAAAGCCTTTAAAATATCGCCCTATTGTCTCTCCTCATTGGACATTGCTGAAGACTGAGACAAACTGATTTGTTCCCAGCTCATAAGTTATTTAACTTTTCTACCGAGAACCCCTCCAACAGAGTTTTCATTTAATTTAGTTTATTGGTACATTTTATGTACCAACAGGGAAATTGTAGGGAATTTGTACCTGTACATGATGTAACTTGATTCTTTTTTTCCCTATTCCTTTCACCTTCTTTCAACTCCTCTTCTCCTTATTTTCAAAAGTTCTGTTTCCATTTTTTTCCTTCTTTCTCATCATTTTTCCCCTTCCTCCCTGCCCTCCCTACTTCCCCATCCCATTTGAACATTTCTTCCTATTTCACAACACCTATTATACATTTTGGTCCTTATTTACACAGTTGGTTTCCCACACCAAAAACAGGGCAGTATTTACACATGTGTGCCCAGTTTATTTCACTTAAGAGAATGGCCTCAAGGTGCATCTATTTAGCTAGATGCATCTCAACTTATCCTTCTTTGCAGCAGAGTAGTACTCCATTGTATTAAAAAACACATCTTTATCCATTCATCAGGTGATGGGCTATTTCCAAGATTTAGCTATTACAAATAGTGTCACTGTAAATATGGGTGGACATATGTTGCTGTTCTATCTAGAATTTTAGAGAATTGTTTATACCTTATACTTAACAGGGTGAGATGTAAATCCATTGATCTGTCCATCTACCTACCAGTGTTCTTACCTATCTCTCCATCTACCTGTTTACCTACCTATCTACCTACCTACCTACCTGTCCATCTACCTATGTACATTCTTATCATCTCTCCATCTGACTACTTACCTAACCACCTCCCTAGGTACATGTCCACCTACCTACAAACCTGTCTTCTGAGCACAGACTGAGTGCCTCGTAACAAGGTCTGCTGTGGTGCCAGGGTGATTTCTGTTCCTGTGGTTTCTGCTCGTTCCTCCATATCAACAAGCTGAAGCAGACACTGTTGCTCTCGTCACCTGCTCCTGGTGCCCAACCAGGTTGCTCTAGAAGACTGCAGCCACAGAGCTCTTGCCGTACTCCTCAGTCTCCAGAGCTCCATCCAGGAACGCCTTAGTAATGCTTCCTTCTTTCCTCATCTGGCTTCTGGCGTCCAGAACTGGGACCAGGAGCTGTGCTGCCGACCCGCCTCTGAGTCCCATCAGGATTGCTTCTGCATGCAGGTGCCACATTAGAAGCTCACTTTTGAGTACATTTTGTTCTTTTCACTGGACATGATATAAGGTGAGCTTATGTTCTTGCAAAGTTGCACCTTGTTTACCCAGAGGTTTTCTGTTGTGGTTGGGGTATGGGTTGGGCACCCCAAGGCTCATGTGCTAGAACCTTAGACCATGCTTATGTGGCCAGTGTAAATATGGCAGATAGGGGACATTTAAGGTGACCAGCCTTGGTTTATACTGCATCCCTGGTCCCTGCACATGGCAGGCATCCTGGGCACAGGCCTCACCTTTGCTCCAGATGAGAGTCCTTGCTTGGCCAAAATGGTGCTAATGAAAAGATGCCTCTGTTTTGAGCACATTCACAGCCACACGCTTCACTTTGCTTTCCCTCACTCTCTGTGCATCTCTAGTAAAGCTGAACATCCTGTCACCGCCATTTTCCTTCACCCAGTTCTTACTCTAAAATTAAAGAGCCATTGAGTACCTTCAGTAGCCTATTTATATAGATTTTCAAACTGTTGCAGATGTAATTTCTGGGTATTCTTTGTGAGTCTTGGCCACCTCTCCCAGCCCTTCCCTGTTGTTTCTGTGATTAACGGTAGGATGGACCAGGAAGGGAGTATGTGTGCCCTACGCCAGTGCAGGAGTTATTCTCCCTGCAACATATTTCCAGGAATAGGGATGGAACAGAAAATGGGATTTTCAGCTGGAGTTGCTGTACAGCAATCAGGGATAAAAGCAGTCTCACTCTGTGGATTAGAGGAGAGAGCAGGCATGTGGCAGATTACGGGATACTCACCGAAGTCCAGTAGTTTTTTCGATGGTGGACTGCAGTGCATAGATCCACCAGCAACAGGATAACTCCAATGATTGAAAACATACAACTAAAGATATTCATTCCCAGGCTGCCTTTTAGCTAGTGGACACAATAGGAAAAATAAATGGGATAGATGGTAAACAAATTAGATGAAAGTAGAATCAGTGAGAGTTAATAATTCTTAATCTTTGCTATCTTAAAACCATTTTTGAAATTGAAGTGACTTTTCTTTCTATTCCTCTGTGTAGTTACCCTAAAATTCTCTGTAAATTAGATGTCAGACATTTTCAAAAAGCTGTAGAAAAAATGTAAGTCACACGAGGCAGAAGCTTATCTGTTATGTTAACATGAAAGCTTCAGGTATAGAAACTATCTTTTCTTTTCTTTAATAATAAAAGTACAAGCAAATTTTTTCTTTTGTTTTGGCACTTGTGGCTGAACTCAGAACTTCATGGATGCTGTGCATGTGCTCTACCACTGAGCTATGTCTCCAGCCTTTTATATTTTGTTACTTGAGATAGGGTGTCTCTGAGATGCTTGGGGTGACCTCCAAGTTGTGATACTCCTACTTTAGTCTCCTTTAATAATAAGCCTTTAAAGGGCATTATTCTGTGTCAGTAATTATGTTAAAATTTGCAAATACCTTGCTTTTACACTGTATGAGGTAGTACTGTGGCAATGGTTTTTATACATGAGGACAGATACACTCACAGATTTATTTCTTGATAGATTTCAGTTCTAATGAAAGCCCCCAGGATTAGGTGAAGAAACTCAAATTCAGAAGGAGAAAACCTTTGGGCTTTTATAGGGAGAGGTGTGTGTGCTGTGTAGAGAACTCTTAAGGATTTTACAGTAAGATTTATCAGAATCTTATCACAGTGCAATCACAGTGAGTGATTTCATAAGTATCACTTATGGATCCAAGTCCTCAGCTGGCTTGCTAGGATGGCATAGCTGGAATCTTGGGCCTGTCCCCTGCCTGGACACGCCTTGTACTCAAAAAGAGACTGACATCACTGGGGGAGTGTCCAGAGGGACCTCTCCTAAAGAACTGCACGCATTCTGGGAAAGTCTCAGTGGAAGGATCGAGAAGGTGCAGAGAGAGTATGCTGTGTTTTGTTGTTGGATTTCAATAGATGATTAATCAGGATTAGGTGGATTTGGTTTTAGCGTGCTTTATTTATTTTTATTTTAGTGTCATTTTGCATAGAAGAGTGTGAGCATCGCAGGTCTCTGTTCCCTCCTCTGGCCATCCTCTCCTCCTGTGCATTATTACAGATATCCTTGAAATCACCTCTGGTCTAGCTTCTGGCAAATCATTTTCCTTTCCCTGGTGTGTAATTCAACCGTGAGATTGCACCAGGTGGGTTGGACTGAGCACTGAAGCCCTGACTCAGTGAGGGATTTCGGAGGCTCTTCTTGTTTCCTAAGATACATTCTCTCGATGGTGGTTTAGGGCACTGCACGACAAAACCGAGTCTGAACAAGAACAGGTGATATTCGCAGATAAACAGTGCAAACACACTCTGGAGACTTTGTCACTGCAGTGGCAGCAGGCGCTTCCTGGTTCCTGGATTCTTCCAGAACAGGAGCCGTGAGGTGAAAGCTTGAACAGCTCTGACCTTTACAGCTTCCGGGGCTGTGAGTCTAGGGCCCAGAGCTGGCGCTTCTGAGTGGAAAACAGATAGGAGGACCGCTCCCCAACCAGCACCCAGGCTGGGGGCAACCAGCAGATGCTTTGGGAAAGAGCGCCCGTCCACACATTGCTGCATCTACCTTCCCAATCTTCACTCCTATAAACTAAACTCACAATGCAAGGAGTTTAAAGAGTGGAAACATTCTTACCAGACTCGAGGAGTGTTCCTGGAGTGCTGAAATGGTGATAGCACCAGAAACAATGAACTGTAGAAATAGACAAAATCGTTTGTGAAATGGTAGGTCTTTGGACTGTGCCTGGGACATCTGCTTATGTGGAAGGTTAATCTGTATTCATCTGTTTTCTGTCTCTAAGTTTTCCCTGGTGCATCTCAATTTTCTAGAGTAGCTAGAAAGTCCTTTTTGCTTCCTTTCCTTTTTTCCTCCTTGGGTTCTTGCATATGAAGAACTCATTATCATGCAAGACTTTGCTGTCTGGTGCTTTCTGAGCTTACTGCTCAGTTTTGTCTCCTTATCACTTGTGTATTTTTTCACCTGTGTTTGGCAGTGCCGAGGGTCGAGCCGCCCAGGGTCTGGATCGTGATAGGCAAGTGCCCCTGCACTGAGATGCACTTCCAGCCCCGACTGCGTGTTTTCATCACATTTACAGACCCCTGCTGCCGCCCATCCCCACTCGTACCTCCATTTCCACCTAAGCTTCACAGCCAACTAGAATCTGGGCTCGATTATTTGGTGAGAGTAAACTTGAGGAAATGGGTTTTAGCTGCAGGTTTAAAACCAGGAAGTAAGGCTCCTCCTGTGCAGGCCCAGTCAGTGCTGGGATTTCTGGGAGTTCTCCTGCGCTCGGCCCAGGGATTATCAGTAGCTGAGCGGCTGGTTGGCTGGGGACATCTGACTTTGCAGGGAGAGGTGACCTTGCCATGTACTCACACACAGTCCACCCCAGAAGGGGTATCCAGAGACAAAGGAGATGGAGCCGAAGCCCCAAGCTCGACTCAGACTGTAACTCAGTAAAGCCCCAATAACTCCAAACCCAGGGTGCATCACTCCAATCATGATCTGGATCCCCTAAAAGAATAAAACAGGCATTTAAAAATTACTTCTCTATTTCAACCTGTGAACCACTACTCTCTCTTCTGCTGCTGGTTGTACTTCTTTTGTTTTGTCAGGGTCCCTGGCATCATTTCAGCCTCTAGCGTAGGAGGTGGCCTGTGAAGATTTCCATGCATAGTGGAACAACTGGGGAATGAAAGCCTCAGCAGGAAGCCTTGTTTGAGGGATTTGTGGAGGCCCCAGGAGAAGGCTGCAGAAAGCACAGTGGCTTCAGGTCCAGGAGCATCTTCTGGGATCCTCTAACAGTCTCTAAATTATTTACGCTTTGAATGTCTCATAGGAGTGAAAGCATACAGTATTGACCTGTGTCTGGCTTACTTTCCTTAGAGCATCCATTTTCCTACAGCTTGTTTTGTCAGGTGGAGTTGTCAAATTTATCTGTCTTTTGCACAGTAGAAGTGTACTGTGTCCATGTACAACATTTTCTTTATCCATATCTGTTGATGGGCATATAAACTGCTTCTATGATGCAGCTATTGAGATTTATGCTGGTATAAGCATGTTTATGCATATTTCTGTATATCATACCACATCTTTAACTGTCTTGGGAAGATACCCATAAGAGAGACAGCTCTTTGTGCAGTGGAATTTTTATTTTTAGTTTTATCAGGGTTATCTATACGAATTTTCATAGTGGTTGTACTAGTTTAAATTCCCTCAGCACTGCAGAAGCGTTCATTTTTTCCCTCACAACTTCTGCAACATTTGTTGTTGGTCAAGGTCTTGAGGATGCCTTTCTTCCTGGAGTAAGATGAAATTTTCATACTGTTTTGATTTCTGCTGCTCTTGTAGCCACATTTGCTGGACATTTTTCATGCACTCATTGTCTTTTGTATTTCTGAGAAGTGCTTATTCATTTAGGTTGTCTGTTTTCTGATTGGATCTTTTTATTCTGGGTGGGCTCTAATTTCATCAAGAAGTAACTATTTCATGCAATTAAGTTGAATAAAATTAGGAAAACTCAGTCTTATTAATAACACTATGGGATGAATAGCTTTTGGATAATGAAGTTCCTTTCCATTGTCATGAAAGCTATGGGTGGTCCCCTTGAAGGATTTTTCTCGAACATTCTTGCACGCACACCACAAGTTTGCACATAACTTCAGTGAATTGTTAGCTTCTTAGTCAAACATGCAGTTGAAGAACTCCTGTGTCAGACTTCGCCTTTTGCCTTCACAAGCTCTTCTCCAAGGCCAGAAGTTCAGTCATCAAGCTGCAAATGTCCCATCCTCCTCCTCCCTGTCATCTTGATGCCCAGCAGTCTGGCCTTGGGTTACCAGTGACCTTTTATCCTTGAGAAGCCTGGCTGTGCATTTGCTTGTCAAACCCCTGCTGATTGAACCACTTGCATGTCCAGTGTGCCCTGCGCTCCACCCCAGACCACTGCATGTTCTGGCAGGCTTGGTACACGTGCTCTGGGTTCTACCCTTCTGCACAGCCTTGTCCCTGGGGCTCTTGTGGCATAGCAGTGCCACCTTCTTGGAGAGGAATTGGCTTTTGCCCATTTTAGCTTTTATATTGTCCCTTTACAGCATCTCACTGCAGGCGTCTCTGGTGTCAGGCAGAAGGTTCCAGTGTGGGATGTTTCTCACTCCGGTTAGAAAAAGGCTGCTGTGCCCCAGGCCTCGCCTGCCGGCCCTGCCATCCGCTGTCCCCACTGCTCTCCTCTCCCGCTTGCATTCTGCGTAAGGCTCAGCTTGGACCTGACTCTCCTGATGCCCAGCCTGTCTGCCGGCAGAGGCACTGCTCTCAGCTCAGCGCCTCACCCTCAGCAAACCTGAGGAGTCCTAAAAGAGATGAGGCAGAGCACAGAATCTCCCAAGCACTGGGGCATCTGAAGCCATCCAGACATTTACACCGGACACCTCACGGGCTCTGCCCACCGCGGAGCAGACATCCAGAGAACTCTGACCACTGAGGTGTACTGAGATCTTCCTGCCCCATGTCTCCCGCCTTGCTTCAAGCCCTGTAAAATGGGCCGGCTTCTCCTCGCTCCCCTCTCTCTGCCTGCAGGCAGGCACAGGGTGGGTAGCTGGTATGCAATGAAAGGGAAATAAGGAAGAACTCATTGCTGGCTTTCAGAAGAGCTCCAGTCTTCACCTTCAGCTTGGTCATCTCCTGGCTTCTGGTGCAGACTGTTCAGCTTCTGCCTGGGACTCTTCAGCCTTCTGGTGTAGACTCTGTGGCCTTCATCATAGATTCTTAAGTATTCAGTTGCAGACCCATTGGCCTCCTGAGAGGGACTTCCATGGACACTGCAGTGAGCTCCAGGCCTTAGACTGGACTCTTCAATCTCCAGAGTGCAGACACCCTCTACATGCTTTCTTGTCCAACTCTGTGGCTGACTATTGTAAGCCAAAATTGTAACTCCTTGTATACTTGTATATCTTGTGTTATATCTGTTTCTCTAGTAAAACCATGACTGATGCACCTTCCTTGCAGAGAGGGAACAATCAACAATGAAGAAGTAACCTGCTGAATGAGAGAAAATTTTGCTTGGCTACTCTTCAGGTAGAGGATCAGTTTCTAGAACATCTGAAGGACTTTACAAGTTGACTCCATTAAACAATGAATCCAATAAAAACATGGACAAATGAACCAATTACCTCTCAAAGAAGTTGTTCACACGACCCAAAGGTTTTCAAAAATGTTTAGCATATCACTGTCAGAGAAATGCAAACTAAAACTACACTGAGATTGCCTTTCACCACAGTCAGAATGACTGCCATCAAGAATACAACACACCAAAGGAAAAAAAAAAAAAAGAATACAATACACCATGAATGCTGACAAGAAATTGGGAAATATTCCTCAGCCATACAGAATAATGGAATTTTCTTATTTCAAGGAAATTCCATGAAACTACACACCATAATTTTAAGTGAGATTAGCCAGACACAGAGAGTTAAATATTCTGTACTTGCTGTTATATTCAGAACCACATCCATCCATCCATCCATCCATCCATCCATCCATCCATCCATATATACTTAGAGGAGAGAGAACAGGAAATCTAGAGATGGACTTCTGGTGATGGGAAATGGGTCAAACAGGCTGTTAGAAGAAAGGTGGGGATGATCAAAACTGCTAAGATTTGTTAAATGAATGTACCAACTTCACAGCATGAACCCATCACCATAGCATTGACTTGCATAATAAAGTGCTTTGCAGAGATGAATTGAAGCTAGAAGAGATAGTGCTCCCACCACATCAGTATTACTCAACCCTCCTGCCTGACAGACTCTGCTGTCACCTGTTGGATTCTTGCTCAAATTGAAAATAAAATGAGCTCAGAGTGAAGTCCTCATACAGACTAATCACTTCTATCTAAGAAGGGGCACAGTTTCCAAAGCAATGTTCAGAGCTTTTTAATAATCAAGGGATGTACTCTTCCCTTTTAATTTATAGGTACTAAAAGGTCTGCTAGTCAAAGACTGAATTCTGGTAGCAAGCAGACTCACCCCGAGTATGAGTATCCTGAGGTCTTCTTTGGGGTCTGTTGATGCTTGTTCATTTCTTTCGCCTTGGCCTGACATTGTTACAACCTAAGTATTTAAAAAAAAACAACAAAAGTGACACATTCACCCAAAAAAAGAAATTGGAAAACCTCCTGTGAAATGTCAGCTACATGCGAATGGAAGAAGGGGAGTGAGCAGGTAAGGGGCAGGGACAGCCGGGCTGAAGGAGAGTCTCATGCGACCGCGGAGTCAGGCCTCTGCTGTGGTTTGGAGGCAGCAAGGTGCGGGCAGGGAAATGCATTGCTTCCATCCTTCCCGTTGAGTTCTGTTGGCTCTGTGTGTGTGTGTGCGTGTGTGTGTGCGCGCAAGTGTGCGTGCATGCGTGTGTGAGTGTGTGTGCGTGTGCGTGTGTGTGTGCGCTCACGCGCACATACACATGCACTCACTAAGTTTTTTGTTTCTGAAGGAAAACAGAAGGAAGGAAGTGACTGTGGGAGACAAAATAATGTCTCCCTGAGTTGAAGTCCAAACCCAAGCACCGGTGCGTCTGTTGGGCTCCTTGGCACAGGAAATTCAGGCCGCAGGTGGAACGAAGGCTGCCAGTAAGCCGACCTCGGACTGGGTTATTGGTTTGGCCATTGGTTTGGCCCAGGGCGATCCCAGGGGCCTTTAAGCGTGGGGAGGGAAGCAGGAGAACATCAGAGGGAGCAGCTCTGCTACAAGGAGGATCAGAGAGAGGCCGCCCGCTGACTCCGCAGGGGGAGGAGGGGCCGTGCGCCCGGGGTTAGGGGTGCCCACCGGAAGCCAGCGGAAACAAGGAAACTGGTCATTTCCACGAGTCTCAGAGAGCAGGGTGTGTCTGCCCACTTCAGTGCTGGCCCGGGGACTCCCAGAACTGCCAGGTCCGTGCAAGGTCCTGTTCTTAAGCCACAAAGTTTGTGGAGTCAGAGTCACAAATGGAGAAATGTTCAGAGGCTCATAGTACAATTCAATGGCACAGAGATCAGGCTATGGCTAAGATTATTTATCAGAAAATCAGAAAAGCAGATAATCACACATGGTCACATTGATTGCTTTTCCTTTTAGAAATTACTGTAAACATATCTCATGCATTTCTGTCTTTTCTTGGAAATAAACCAACACCAGTGTTTTTGTCTATAAAATGGGACTAATAAAAGTCTGTTCTTAACAGGGTCACTTTGAGCATTAAGCAGCTATTCTATCTAAAGTTCATAAATAGTTCATGTTATAGCCCAACATGTTGGCTTTGTTACTGTTGCTATGTTCCGTGCATGTGATATTCTCTTCATTACAAAATACCTTCAGATAGGTTCTAAAACCGTTTTCATTTTCACTGAGAGAAGTGAATCCCAAACCTACACTCAACCCTCCCTCTACTGAGATACAATTAAACAAGCACTTGGCAGAAAGACAGAATACCAGTTGCCAACACACATGATTACAAAGGGATTACTTTGATTGTTTTCCTTATATTCTTTCAAAAAATTGAAAAACAGTTGTTCAGATCTCTTGATTATTGGTTGACTTTTTCTTGCAGTACTTCCTACTTTATACTTGACTGTTACAGCTGGGATCAATTACAGCTTGCAGTTTGGGAAAAATATGCTGGAGTTAGGAATGTGAGTTCCTGGGGAAGGTAAGGGTATGAGTTGGTGAGGGTGGCTAGTCTGACCCAACATATCTTCTGGTCACTCTCCAGATAGCAGCCATCAGCTCTAGAGCAGGTGACCTTGGGGGATGCCTTGAGGGCACATAAAAACCAACCAGGGATTAAAAGGCTTATTTCTCTCCTGTTTCAGATGGGGAACTCAATGTCAAGTTCTTTTACTCCTCAGGAATATATTTTTAAACACAAGTATTTGTTCAGCCCTAATGTATTGCTGAAGAGCTGTTTAACATTTTTCTATACCCACACATGGCCTGCCTAATTCCTAGATAAAATAGAGTGCAGAGGAAAGTATTGATTATGATACTGTTTCACAACTAGAATTGTTCTGGAAGATAGAGGGAAAATGGTCAGAATTACCTCATGCTCAGACTTTGCATTAAGAGATATCAAATTTGGGTGGGACTGTGGGGAAAAGAGAACCCTTCTCCACTGGTATATGTGTAGAATGGCACAAACACTATGGAAATTAGTCTGGAGATTCCTAAAAAAACCCTAGAATTAGAGGTTCCATTTCACCCAGCTATTCACCTTCTGGGTATTTCTCCAGAAAAATTGAAAGCATCATACCACAGTGATATATGTGCACCCATGTTTATAGAAGCACAATTTGTCATAGAGAAATCATGGTAACAACCCAAGTGACATCAGCTGAGAAATGGATAAAAAGATGTGGTAATTTTACACAGGGAGTATTACTCAGCTATAAAAAAAAGATAAATGAGGGTTTTATAGGTAAATGGAGGCACCTAGAGGTCATACTCATAAGTGAAGTAAATAAGACCCACATGTGTAAACATCATATTGTCTCCTTTGTGTAAGATACTGAAAAAGTAGACCTACCAGCTTCCACCATTGCAGGAAGGACAGTGAACTGTGTGAGCTTTAGAGAGCTGCCCCCTGGCCCTCCACTGTCACAGGAATGTTGTTGAGTTTCAGTGAACCTTGGAAGCTTCAGTGAGCTGCCCACCAAGGAGGAGACTCCACCTCGTCCCCCTGCACCATTGAGGGAGGAACACTTAGCCTTGGTGAACCACGGGAGCTTCAGTGAGCTTTTCAGGAGGGGTGACACTGTTCTGCATGCCCCTTACTGCCACAGGAATGATGCTAAATCTCTGTGAAATGCAGGAAATTCTGTGAACTGCCCAGGAGGGTGGAGAAATCACCCCCTGCCTCATAACCATCATGGGAGTGACCCTACATCTTAGAGAGCTGCAGGAGCTTCTGTGAACGGCCTTGGAGGGGAGAGACTGTACTCCCTGACCCCCAACATCATGGGAAAAACACTAAACCTTGGTGAACCTCTGGAACGTTGGGAGCCTCAGTCTGGAGGAACCTTGGTGCTTAGCCCATGCTCCTACACTGCACCCAGCATGGGAAGCAACCAGGACACAGTGGCAGGCTTGTCAGGAGGAACACAGGGTAAATACACTCTACCAAGGGGAAATGCTTTGTACACAGACTTGTAGTTTACTATCAGTTCTATTACATAACTATAGGGTTTGCTCTTATGGTCTAAGGTACAAAATCAATAGTTACTAAATTTGGTCAGTTTTTAAATTGTGCTTATTGCTAATT